CAGACACACACACACACACACACACACAGAGACACACACACACACACACACAGAGACACACACACACACACACACAGAGACACACACACACACACAGAGACACACACACACACACACACACACACACACACGCTCTGATCTGTCTTTACCAACAACATGTTGTTCTGCGCTCTCTCGTTATTAAAAGGAAACTGAAGGACGTGTTTCATTCTTCAGTCTCGTGTCTTTGCAAAGCTCAACTCTTCCATCAGACTTACTGTACATTAAATGTGCTGCAGAGTCAGCAGATGGAGCAAAAACACAAACACACTGATGACTGCCGTGTGTTTCTAATAGACATCGTATTTAAAGGAAGGTTTGTTGCCTCTATGTTTACTTACATCAAACCTGTGGAAACACTATGGCTGCATCATTTTAACATTTTTTTAGTCCCGCCCACTCTGTGTCAACAGTCTAGCTCCGCCCCTGTGTTGGACTCTCTGAAGAAATGGTAAATGGCCTGTATTTGTATAGCGCTTTACACTACATTCAGTCATCCAGTTACCATGGCATGGTCATCTGAGCGAAGGCCACGCGGCTCTTCTGTCCTCCTGATAGGCTGGCCACCGGCCTCGTGGCCAGCTCTCCCGTGATACCGTAACCTCCCAGCTGGTGGCGGTACTCCTCCTCGGTCCGACCTGTGATGCAAACGCAGCAGCCCATCAGAGCGCGACGTGGAGCTGCCAATGGTATTGTTGATGGCGCTGTTGCTATAGTTACCGGGGAACTTGTTGAGGAGCAGCTCCACAGAGCAGACGTTCAGGTCCAGCTGGTCCACATGGTGCTGACTGAAGTAACCGATCTTCAAGTTCCTGAGGCGAAAAGATGAGCAGCAGGCATGTTTAGATTAGCGAGCGCGTCTCGATTATCAGCACTCGCTGACAATCGCTCCGAGCACGAGCAGATCCCACAAACAGCGCATGAACAATGGCGCGTCCTCAGTCTGAACCCGTAGGTCCGATAAACAGAACGGAGCACTCGGAAACAAAGAATGAAACAGGTGCAAAGGCTGGAACACATCACAGGTAGAAACAGGAAGAGGAGGAGCCAAGAGGGAGAAAATGTTAAAGCTTCCTAAAAACAGCGCAGGCAGTCCCTTAAAGAGCGAGTGGAGAGGAAGAAAGGCTTCCTGCACAGTGTACAGAGATCCAATAAGATGCAACCAACAGACTCCTCTGCTCTGATTGGTCCACTGGTCGTCTTACCTGTGAGCCTGCCTGACTCCGTTGACCGGGGTCAACTCGCCCATCAGCAACTTGAGGACGGTGGTTTTACCAGCACCGTTTTCACCGACCTGCCGAGAAACACAACAGCCCAAACAGCGAGCTGATTAATGACTGCACTTCCTGTTGTACCTCTGAATCATGTCTCACTCTGCAGAGGCGCCCAGTGCTCACTTCCTGTCTGAGTACTGATATCTGTGCATGCCTCTTTGAGAACTCATCTTAGTCAATAATTAGTTTGTAATTGCTGCATCACACCACCCGGTGGAGCCACCTATCGTATTCAGGAGACACTCGCCAACGTTCGTGTCTGACGGTACAGTGCAGACCTGACGCTCTGCGGCCTGTCAGTCCATCCCTGAGCTAACAAGCTAACCTGGAGCCATGCCAGCTAAGCCAGCCACACCTGAAGGTCTCTCCACCCGCACAGCGCCCTCTGCTGACTCATTGCCGTCAGCTGTAAAGCACTATACGCTGACCGTGGCGACACCGTGAGGTCACCATGGTGATAAGACCGTGAAGGTCACGACACAGTGCTGTCACACATACGATGCAGATCCGAGAGTCGAGGTCAGCTGACAGGTTGAGTCCGGAGAACAGCGGCTGGTCTTTACTGTAGTAAAACTCGACTTCATCCAGCTGCAGGATGGGCGGAGATAACTTCTCAAAGTTATCTGGAAACCTGAAGCGACACACAGCATGTCAGCCAGTCCAAGCTTTACTGCCACAGTGATCGTTGGGGGTCAGAGGTCATCTTCTTACCTGAGCGTGACTTCAATTTCCTTCTCGATGGGCTTTAGCTCAGGTCTGCGGGAGAAAGCAAGCATTAGCTTACAGACAGGCAGCACAGACACCAGATCAAGGCGAGGAGGGCGAGGAGCACTCACAGCTTCTCCAGGAGTTTGAGTTTACTCTGCACCTGAGCTGCTCGGTTAGCGTTGTACCGAAATCTGTCGATGAAAACCTGAAAGACACACAGCAGCCGTTCACCAAAACTACATCAGCTCTGTGACACAGAATCACCTGACAGACAGTCTGTGATTCAAGCTGTCTGTGAGCAGCACGTCCTACAGACGCACTGAGTCACTGACATGAAACAACGAAAAGACACCAACAAGGCAGGCATACCGTGGAGCACCTGTTTGTACTGTCTGTACCTGTCTGTATCTGTGTGTACTGCCTGTACCTGTGTGTACTGCCTGTACCTGTGTGTACTGCCTGTACCTGTCTGTACTGTCTGTACATGGGTGTACCTGTGTGTACCTGTCTGTACTTGTGTGTATTGTTTGTACCTGTGTGTACCTGTGTGTATTGTCTGTACTTGTGTGTATTGTCTGTACTTGTGTGTATTGTCTGTACTGCCTGTACCTGTGTGTATTGTCTGTACCTGTGTGTATTGTCTGTAC